ACTTGAGGGGATGCTTATCTAAGATAAATTGCAATATTCTTAACGGCTGAGTTTTGAATCCAAATGTAAGTGAGCAGTAAGGTCTCAAAGCAACAAGTCATGCATCTGCTGACTTGCAAAAATTTGAGGACAAATAAACACAACAACCAAGCCACACACTTGACTGAGGGCCAGCAGTGTCCCGCTGTATGACTTCTCTTAGGGGCACATTTGATGGTAGAGGCAGCAAAGGAAGATCAAGGAATGTTGGCAGACTTCAGCAGAGGAGAAAGATTGTTTATTAGCATCCTCTGCAGAGGAAGCATGTGGTCATCATTCCCCATGACCTTTCATCAGAGATTATGGGAATAAGAAAACTAGACAGAAGAAGAAGGTGTGACTTTTAAGTGACACACAGAAGGAAACGGGGATCATTAAAAATCCAGGGTATGAGTCCAAGAGGCAGTGCTGCCTAATGATATAAACTCTGTCCCTGGAATCACATAGAAACCAGTTCGAATCCTAACTACTACTTAATCGTTGAATGATAGCAGGCTGGTTGCTTCAACCTTTGAGCCTCAGTGTTTTCCTCTGTAAGATGGGAATCATTCAATATAAGTTCTGATGAGTTGTCATGAGAGCAAAATAGCGATTAAAATCCTCACCAGCAGCTTGCCACAGAAACGTGTGAATTGTGTGTTTTCTTTGCACATTGCTTTGCCGACTTTATGAGTTTGCCAAATCTCCAAACCAGCTTCATACTGAAATACTTCATATTTTAATTCAAGCTGCTTTTTCTTGACTTGAGTAAATTAATTTAGGAAGGAATTTCACATCACTCCCACATGAAGAAAACGCCATTCTATGGCCCGAAGGAGGCTCTGTGTCAGAAGCCTGCTCTACCTTCATATAAAAAGGGAGTTAGAGAGTTGTTAAAGACACAGCCCACTGAGACATTCCCCTTCTTCAGTCAGAGACTGAAGAAGAGTAGAAGAGGGAAGAACTTTCTCACTTGTGAGCGATGTGGTTGAATGTGACAATGGAGTGCTACCTCAAATCAGGGTGCCCAGGTTGCTTTAAGGACCAAGGGGGAATCCTACCTCTTCTGACCATCCAGCTGAACTGACTTTTTTCTCCTCCCAACTCTCAGTGTCTTCTGGTCTTAACATGTTGTATCCTTGGTTCTTTGTCTCTGAATTTTCTTATCTCAACTAGAGTGGAAGAACATGAGGGCAGGTCTCTCTCCCGGTATTTGGCCAACACCTGTGGGTGCCTAAGAGGTCCATCCAGGGTTTGTTGATTTTTAGTCCCAGGAAGACAAGTGGCAGTCAAGTCACTGAAGGTAGTGGTCCCAGTCAGTGGTCCAAGTAGCAATGACATCTCCTAGGTCTGAACATATAGTACCAGGAAACTGCCTCTTATTCCTTTACTTTTTTAGCTGGTTAGTAGATTTTCTATTTCTCCAGCCCTCCCACATCCAATATTTTTTTATTTTGTAGGATATGAATATTTTAATTCCAAGGAAAGAGATAATAATTAATTCTGAATGTTTGTCTTCCCCTAATTGATGTGTTGAAATTGTAACCCCACAGGACTTAAGAGAGAAGATAGACAAATGGGACCTTATTAAACTGACAAGCTTCTGCAAAGCCAAAGAAACCATCAAGAGAGCAGGAAGACAGCCTACAGACTGGGAAAAAGTCTTTGCCAACTCTAGGTCTGACAAAGGCTTAACATCCTGGATCTACAAGGAACTGAAACGTACTGAAAAGAAGAAAACAAACAACTCCATTATAAAATGGGCAAAAGATATGAACAGACACTTCACAAAAGAAGACATTCGAAGCAGCCAACAAACACATGAAGAAATGCTCAACCTCACTAATCATCAGGGAGATGCAAATCAAAACCACACTGAGATACCACCTAACTCCTGCAGAATGGCAATTATCAACAACTCAAAAAATAACAGCTGCTGGAGAGGGTGTGGTGAAAAGGGAACACTTCTACACTGTTGGTGGGAGTGTAAACTAGTGCAACCTCTGTGGAAAGCAGTGTGGCGATTCCTAAAAGCTCTAAAAATTGACCTTCCATATGACCCTGCAATCCCCCTACTGGGAATATACCCTGAAGAACACAAATCACTCTATAAAAAAGATACCTGCACACGTATGTTTATCGCAGCATTGTTCACAATAGCAAGAACCTGGAAACAACCATGCTGCCCATCAAAAGAGGACTGGATTTTTAAAATGTGGTACATATACACGATGGAATACTACGCAGCCATAAAAAAGAACAAAATCATGAATTTCGCAGCAACCTGGATGGAACTAGAGTCTATAATACTGAGTGACCTCACACAGAAACAAAGATCAGAATATCACATGTTCTCACTCATATAATGGACCTTGAACATCCAATGTAATACTATAAGAAAATGACTGACGGTACTGGGAAACTATGGGGGGGAGGGGGAGGGGATTAACAGTAGCAAATATCTGTCTGGGGCTGGGAAAACACCTCTTATCAACAGGGTGTCTGAATGAAACGTAATTGTACACCTAACCCTTAACTGTACCCCACAAAACTATAATAAAAATACTGATTAATTATTAAAAAAAAAAAAAAAAAGAATTAGTTCCTATAGATTTTTTCTGGTATTACAAATTTGATAACTTACCTCTCTATTGAGAATAGAAGTAGTAAAGAACATTATAAAAAAAAAAAAAAAGAAAGAAATTGTAACCCCTACAGTAGTATTTAGGAGGTAAGGCCTTTGGGAGGTGACTAGGTCATGAGGGTAGAGCCCTCACTGAATAGGATTAGTGCTCTTGTGAAAGAGGCCCCAGAGTGCTGCCTTGCCACTTCTGCCATGTGAGGACACAATTAGACACCATATGTGACTCAGAAAATGACCCTCACTAGACATTGAATCTGCTGGCACCTTGATCTTGAACTTCAAGACTCCAGACTGTGAGAAATAAATTTCTATTGTTTGTAAGCCACCCAGTTTATGGCATTTTGTTATAGCAGCTTGAATAGACTAAGATAATAATTAACTGATACAGATTACAACCCGGTAGGAACAGAAGATATTGCTAGTCTTGGGTTTTTCTAATTTTTTGAAGCACCAAGCACAAAACAATGAAGCAATCCCTCCCATAGGGAATTTGTCGTGCTTGGTGGCAAATGACCTTAAAAGATGGTCTCCACTTCTTTCTGCATTTTTACTTGGACTCAAGGGCTAGGCAGGATGAAAGGGAGATGAGGGGATGGAGGAAAACATACACTTCACCTCTGGAAGCTTGAGTGTTGTTCTAGTTACTATGGTTCTGTAGCAAATTACCCAACATTTAATGGTGTAAATCAACCAATTACTATGCTCATGAATTCTGTGGGTAGGAAATTCAGATAAAGCATAGTGGGAACAACTAATCATCAGTTGGGAGTCTTGAAGGCTGGAGCTTGAATCATCTGAAGGCTCACTTATTCATATATCAGTGGCTGACATTGGCTGTTGACTGGAAGGCCTCAGTTTCTCCCTATGTAGGTCTCTCCATGTGATCTCTCCAAGTGGCTTGCTTGGGTTTCCTCACAGCATGGCAGCTATATTCAGAGGAGCCCTCCATTCGGATGGAACTGGTAGCATTTTTTATGACTTGCCTCAGAAGTCGTTCATGTCACTTCTGCTGCATTTTAGTTTTTATAAGCTGGTCATTAAGGCTAGAGGGGACAGGAGCAGTATTCACCCCCTGCCTTTTATGAGAGGAGGGATCCAAAGGATTTGCAGAAATGTTTTAAATCTGACTACAGAACTCTGAGAAGTGAGGGATGACTCCAGGGTCTCAGACATTTATCTGAAATGAATGTCCTCCCACATACAGGACTTGGAAGACTATGAAGGAAATAAGGGGCTTCTGGGAGAAGATTTCCCATTGGGTGGACAATTGTTGAGTGAATGAACTTGACATTTAGGGAGAGGAACTGGATTCTCAGGGAAGCTAACCCACCTGTACAGGGACTGAGGAAGTCCTGGAGGCCCCAAGACCACTAACCCAGGAACTTTGTTGACTTTGCTCCAGGCCACTGTCCCACCCACCTTCTCTGAACTCCTGTGAGAGGTGGAGAGACCGCTACTGGGCATGAGTCACGAGTGTAAAGTACGCCCAGAGCCTTGGCAAGCAGGCTCTTACATGGGAAGGTGTCATTGGGTGAACATTGAGAATTTTTTTCCCCCTTAGACCTGAGATACAAGATAACAGCCTTTCTCCACAGCCTTTCCTCCTGGTTCGTTGTTTTGGGTGGGGAGCTGCTACTCTGAAGCAGTAAACTGGTGTGCAGGGGGTACAAGTGTGTGTGCTCGTGTGTTTGCGTGTGTGCGTGC